CAAGTAAATTGCTTTAGAGCAATTAGGGTTAAAGTTTGCAACAACCCAAAAGACTTGATATTTTATCGAATTTTACATAAGAAGTTGAGACACTAAAAATTAAAAATAAAATATTTTGACCAAGTTTAACTTTTTTTGTCAGTTGTGGGACTTAAACTCAAGGCCTGGGTGCTATCCCTGAGCTTCTTTTTGTTAAGGCTAGAAATCTATCAATTGAGCCACAGTGTCATTTCTGGGTTTCCAGTGGTTATTTGGAGCTAAGAGTCTTATGGGGACTTTATTGCTCAGGCTGGTTTCAAACAGTGATCCTCAGATCTCAGCCTCCTGAATAGCAAGGATTACAGATGTGAGCCACCAGCCTCCAGCTTCAGTTTCTTTTGACTGAGTCAAATTCAGAAATTCTGTACTAATATCTCCCTTTGCAATACCAGGGCATTCATAGCCAATGAGGCCATATGACCAGGTGTGAGTCTGAAACTCAGAAAGGAGTTTATTAGATCTTAAGGGGAAAATTGTGAATTCTTGCTAACACTGATAAGAGTTGGGGTGAGAAAGATCAAAAGGCTCATTGAGCAATAGTATCCCCTTAGGTACCCATTTCATACCCATCTAGTGAGCTAGACTGTAAAGCCTGCCCACTCTGGGAAGACCACATTCATTTTAGGAATAAATATATTGGTGTTCATATTATCTAACTCCTTGTGGTTGAGCCTAGCAGCTTCAGAAAGCATAAAAGTGAAGATGGCTTTCTCCTGAAGCTCATTTCTGTTTGAGAAGTCCAGTTTCTGCCTGGGGCTCTGTTGTATCATTGAATCTAAGTAGAGAGCTCTGCTCACAGTAATGTAGTCACTGGTCTGCACTTTTGCTCCTGTTTCTTATTTAGATGAATGAGATTTACAGCACTTTAATGAAATATTAGCCACCATTTTAGTCTCCGTAAACCTCTATACAAGATATGCAGACCACTACCCTGTCAACGGAAACTGCCCCTCATCACCCCTCTCAAAAAAAAAACAACTCCAAAACAGATGGTAGAATCACTTTTCAGAGCTGTTCCAATTCTTTTGGGTCTTTCAGGCCCCAGTGGGGCTAGGTCATGGGGTATGAAGTAACAGGAATCATGTTTGAGAAGAAAGCAAGCCAGTGTTTAGGACCAATGAATAAGCAAGTAGCACTCTGGACCCTCTTTAAAATTTTAAATATTATACTCATGTCTTCAATTTTCCATCTGTGCCCTATCGATTTTGTAGTATAGTAGTAAAAATACAAGAAGCCAATGTGTAATGAGGGCTTACTGTGCTCCAAACCATCAGCAGCAAACAATCAGCCCCCATCCACAGAGATAGCCATTATTCCCATCTTCCAGGCAAGGAAATTGAGCCTCACAGGGGTTTCCTGTCTAACATCACATAAGCAGGACAGGACACAACTATATCCAGATACAAACTGAAGTCTGTTTTAATCTGTGACCTTTGACTGTAAAGGGGATAGCTTTCTTATTACCACCTCATTGTTAAAAGCAAAATAGTTTGGAGCAAAGACTGTATAGTATGAAAAAATTAGAATGGGGGAAAGGAGAGAGAGAAAGGTAGGGAAGAGAGAGAAGGAGATAGAGAGAAAAAATACTTAAAAAGTCTAGTGAATTAGGTGTCTATAAAGTGGTTGTTAGAATCCCTTCCCATCCATTGGATGAGGCTGACTGAACTTGTCATTCGCGAGCCATTAGACCTGGAAGCTTCTTATTTTACACATGAGAAAAATGAGGACTAGAGAAAGCAAGAAACTTGTGCAAGATAATCATAATCATAAACATTTGGATTATTACCTTGGAGAGCTATAACTTCAAACTTCTCCAAGATGCATTTTGTGAGATACACATACACACATACACACACACACACACACACACACACACACACACACACACACACCAAATCTAATACAAAATAAAGTATTTTACTGTTTTATGTTGATATCACCACTCCCGGGTATTCCAGCATCTCTTGCTTAGCAGATGGAAATTCTAGAACACTAACATCTTATTAGAGCACTAACATCTTAGCACAAAATGATGTCAGCATAATTATGCTCAAAAATCATTAAAACCTTCCGGTTTCAAAATCCAAAATGTTAATGTGCCATTCTCAGGAGGACAACTGTTCCCTCTAATTTAATACTGATGTCCTAACACTGATTGTTCCTCTGTCTCAGAAGGACCTATCTTATGTGAAATGGAGCTGGTTGTTTATATATTCCTTTGCTGGATGACAAGATACACACTATTTTACTGATGGACACCTCATGTTCTTATTATAATCCTAAGTCCTTTATTTAGTGCAAGCCCTGACACAGAGTCTATATTTAGTAAATGCTGACTGAATAATGCAAATGGAGGCTCAGAAATGTTTCTTATCAATATAATGAGGTTCATCAATATTATGATATTTAACAAATATGATATATTGTTCCACAGTACTAGTAATAGTAATGGTCCAGATGCAAACTCTTGGACAAACTCAAAACTAATAATATTATAACTTTCTAATACCTTTCCAGGATTGGATTGCTCTGCCCCAATTTATCAATCAGAAAATAACCCGTAATTGTGAAGGCATTCTACATAATTGTTTACTGTTTTTCTTTAAAGAAAGAAGATTGAGTAATGAAGAGTTACTCTAAAACTACCTTTAGTAGTATTAGAAATATGACTTAAAATATATTTTAAGTTAAATCTGTGTTCTCATGGCATAAAAAACTCAATAAACACATTAAACTCCAAAAAAAGGAAACAAGAGAGTTTTTTAGTTGCTGTTTTTATTCTCTTTTCCTTTTGTTTGTCTTGGGGCAGTGGGGTCAGAGAAAACATAGAACAAAGGGTAAACAAATACAACAGTGGTACTCACTGAATACTATGTGGAAAATGAAGTGTACATCTTGTGATTGGGGATTGGAAGGAAAAACTGGGAGAGAGCCAAGGAAGGGGAGACTTGGTTCAAAAAGAATTGTGTTAATTATCTGACTTATGTGACTATAACCCCTCTTATATCACCTCTACAATAACAATTTTTTAAAAAGCCAGGCTAGTGGCTCATGCTTTAAATCCTAGCTACTCCAGAGGCTGAGATCTGAGGATTGGGGTTTGAAGCCAGCACAGGCACTAAAGTCCATGAAACTCTTTATCTCCAGTAACCTAATCAGAAAAAGTTGGGAGTAGCACTGTGGTTCAAGTGGTAGAGTGCTAGCCTTGAGCACAAAGAGGCTCAAGGACAGTGCCTAGGCCCAGAGTTTAAGCCCCAGGACCAGCAAAGGAAAAGATATTGTGGTGAAAGCTCAAGCCACAGGTGATATTTCAGAAATGGATTCATTTATTTTTCTCATTCAACATTCAGTGGATATTTCACAGAGATAAGCATGCAAAAGATATTCCTCTGTCCTCAGAAACATGCACAGCAAAGCTAGGTTAAGACATCTAGCTCTCAAGACTCTTAAGTCCTCTCAGCAGACTCCACTTCCAGCCCATATTTCACTACCTACGTAACACTAAATGAGTTCCTTAGCCTCCCAAAGCCTTGTGTCATCAGATACAAAATAGAAGCAATTGTAAGAACTCCTGTCATGCCAAGTTTGAGGGTGGATTAAATGAAACGTATATAAATGCTTAGCAGAATAAATATTCAAAAGTGTTATCTACAATAACAATGATTCTTATACTTCTATTGTAAATGTTTTAATAGAAATATGAACAGAGCATCTGACTAAAACAGGTTAAGTGGAATAGTTAAAGACTGCAAAGATGTATAGAAATCAGGAAGCATACTGGGTCTCGAATGGTTGGAGTTGGAATAAGGTTCAGGAACCTATTAGAACCTATTAGGTTTAGACATTCTGAAAGAAGAGCCTTTAGTTAGCTGGTGGAATGAGTTTAAGTGGTTGGAGACTTCTAAAAGACATAATATTCAAGTCAAGACTGCAACCATGTGAACCAGGGAACAAATGGGGAGAGGATGATCAGGGCAGGAGATTTAGAAAGGCCTTATAGGTCATCCAAGAACTTCAGTCAGATAAATGATACAACTGAATTTTGCAAGGGTCTCTCTGGTCATAAGGAAGATGCTAGGCTCAGAAGAGACATTTAGCAGACTACTGAGATAATATAACTGACAGAAAGAAAGAAGAAAAGACAGACAGACAGACAAGAAAGAAAGAAAGAAAGAAAGAAAGAAAGAAAGAAAGAAAGAAAGAAAGAAAGAAAGAAAGAAAGAAAGAAAGAGAGAGAAAGAGAGAGAAAGAAAGAGAGAAAGAAAGAAGAGAGAGAAAGAAAGAGAAAAGGCGAGGGGTGGGATAGAAGAAATTTGAGATGCTTTGAAAAGACAGAGGATGTCCTTAGAAATTAATTGGATATGAAAATTAAACAAAAGAGCAGTCAAGGAAGACTTCAGGTTCTACCTTGAGGGACTGGATAGACAGAAGTGTAAGAGTCTGGGGATATAGAGTTTGGTATTCTTTAAAGGCCTTTCAGAGGAAAATGTCCAGCTGGTATTAAAATAGAGTCATGTGGCACTCAGAAGAGGTTATTAAGTCATGGAAAATATCCAAGAAATAACTTTGTATATGGAAACATTTGATTTAAGATCATCTACCAAATCTATTTTATTATTATATTCTTAATGATGAGAACATTAAAAACAGAATATATGGCTGTTCCAGAAGACCAGCTTCTAACTTTATTAAAATAAATGACCCACTTCGATTAATAGAATACAAGCTTCTAAGGTTTCTTGTAACTCAATGTTATGGTTCTGTTGTTCTAAACACTCCTGGGAATCTGGATTTGCCTTTTAATGACAGCACACCAGTAGCCTTAAAACCTCCATTGTGAGCACGTGTAATATAGTGTTAACAACAAAAGCCCATTACCTCTAAAACCATAAAACTCCAAAAATGCAGTGACTATGCCATCAAAAAGAAAAACAAGTAGTAAAGACACTATCTACATTTACCTACTCTGATCCCAATTGGCAGCAAAGAGCAGAAGAATCTTCCTGCCATAGTGATCACGGTTTTCCAGCACTCCAGGGAAGCCATCAATCAGAGCTCTCTTAATGCCCGGATCATCTGCTTTGAAGTTTTTGAACATGTCCAGGTTTAGCTGGCGGTACTGGAAGTACTGAGCCAGGAGTCTAAAGGCATCTGCTTGGTGAAACTTCCTGGCTCGGAGAAATCTTAGGATGAAGGCATCATCTGTACGTAAAAATCCAATGTCAGGCCTGGTGATGATCATGTCCCTAACTTGCTGAATGTCTTGATGTAAAACATCTGGGTTTTCATTCAGTTCCAGGCGTGCTTTCTCTATAGTCTCTGGACTTAGTCCTGCCTGCAAATGGGTCATCTTGGCCAAATCTCCTTTCTGAGTGGTTAATTTCTGATGTTTTGGAGGAAGAGAGACTGGTCCCATTCACGTGATGGTGTGCTGAAATTGTGGCCCATTCAACAACTTTCCTGCTAGCAGACTACCATCAAAACAGTGGTCTTCTTTCTGTTCCTGGAAAGCTTCTGGAATTCAGGCCCTAGATGGTGATGGCATCCAAATCAGAAGCAAAACTGTGGCCATTGCTTACTGAAAAACAAATGTACACAAGAGAAACAAAACAGAGAAGATAAAGAGGAAGTATAGATAGCAAAGCAATACCATAGATTGTGACTCTGCTTAGTAGGTATCCAAGGAACAAATTGTGAATGATCCTTTAAATGGAGTATTTGGCCTTATTACAGACAACCTGAATGTTTAATATGCAAATATCTCGACTATGGGACCTATTCTAGTTTCAGTGACTAGTTAACAGAACGGGTGTGTGGCAAGATTAACAATAATGTACTCCTTTATTAATTACCTAAGAAAAAGTAAAAGGAGAGAAAGAGCTTTCCCTGTAACAGCGTTCTTTATGGGGCTATTCACAGGCCTAGATATGGCAAGAAATTATGGTTGCTGTATAATTTATTGCTTCCCATTAGCCTTGTTTCTCAAGCAGAAGTGCCTTTCACAGACATATCTCCTCCCCCACATTTTTAAAGCAGCTATATGCATCTTAACAATAAAAAGGGATGGTAAAACTTCACCCTAACCTAACCTCATAAGTGCCAAATTACTCAGAGTCTTCTAACAGTGGGATGGGAGTGTAGACAGGCTCCAGGCTGGAAAGCTTGACCTGCAATAATAATATTCAATAAATAATAAAAAAAAAGGGTTCACATGTAGATGTTTACCAAAGGCCTTGTTATATGCATTGGCCATCCATCTGCAAGGAGAGAGACTCTTGATTGACTATCTAATCTAAGATCTATATGGACTCAAAATCATTCCATTTCATATAACTGTTCTAGTGTCTTGGGGTAGTGCTTTATGAATGATAATAACAAAATATTTTAATCTTCTCAGATTGATCCCTTATTATTTTTCCACCTAAATGGTATACAAAGAAACAACCAAATTATTTGCATCTTTCTCATTTAAATATAAATATGTACAGTCTTATGGACATGTTTAGTCTATTTTGCAAGTTCCAAAAATCAAGATACACTATGTATAAACAAACTTGGAAGCATCTATTTTCCCCTTGCTTTCCTAGTTCAAAAATCTGCAGGAAGCCAGGTGCCTATGGCTCATGCCTGTAATCCTAGTTAAGATCTGAGGATTGTGTTTCAAAGCTGGCCGAGGCAGGAAAAGTCCATGAGACTCTTATCTGCAATAAGCCATCAGAAAAACCAGAAGTGGAACTGTGGATCAAGTGGTAGAACACTTGCCTTGAGTTGAAGAGATGAGGGACAGTGCCCAGGCCCAAAGTTCAAACCCCATGACTGACAAAAAAAATCTGCAAGAAGGGACAGAATATTTCTCCCCATTTAATCATTATTAGTGATGCTTCATCATATACAATAATTTAAAATACAAAATGACTCCTCTGATTAGTTTCTGCTTTATGGTATGAGGGAAATAAAGGATACTTCAAGGAACTAATGCTCATTTCCAGTGAAATGGAAAGGGAAAGTTTTTAATAAAATATTTGAATTATCCAGGCACTGGTGGCTCACACATATAATCCTAACTACTCAAGAGGCTGAGATCTGAGGACTGTAGTTTGAAGCCAGCCTGTTCAGGAAAGTCTGTGAGAACTCTTATCTCCAATTAGCAAAAAGCTGTAAGTGGAGCTGTGGCTCCAATGGTAGGTACTAGCCTTGAGCACAAAAACTCAGGAACAGTGTTCAGATCCTAAGTTCCAAAATGAAAAAGAAAATTGCTTCTAGTTCTATAATGTGTGAAACAAGACAAAGAGCAATCTTACTTTTCTTTGCTTTTGAGGATGCATAATACTAAAGGAAAATAGTTGTGTGAGGAATTCCCAGGATTGAAGGAAACATCATCATCTACTTAATTCGATACCCATTTGGAGTGTAAACATTCTTCTCCAGTCGCCTTACCACATTCTTTCAAAATACTGTGTTCATCTGATGTCTCCCTCCTTTGATTCATCCCATATTCCTTGTGAGCAGATAAAATTTCTCTGACAAACCAATGGCAATGCCATAATTTATTATCAAAATGTATGCACTAAGGGGTGCTAGCAAGAGTAATGCTGAAACAGCAAGCATAAGCTGGGGCCATCCAGAGAGATGTTCATCCTACCTAGATGTTCATCCTACTGTGGTTGCATCCAATAATAGATAAATTTCATTACCCAGTCAGGGTAATCTGTCAGTATTTGACACTGACTACTTCTTGCATTCTTTTCTCTGACTCCATATATCTTGATTTTTCTCCTTTTTGTCCCTTCCTGTTTTGCCTCTTCTCATTCTGCTCTGACCACTACAATGATGCTGCTTCCCCATAAACTGGCCATCTACATTCAAATAACTTCAGTCCACAGCTCCCTCCTGATTTCCAGGGTCCACGTTCACTCACCCGCTGTTTACCTCCACTTAGATGTTCCACAGACACTACAAATCAATATGTTCAAAGTGAGCTAATTGTAGTTCCTCATCCAGAATTCACTCCTCCACCTCTCTTACTGAATGACATCATTTTCCATGCAATTACCACGCTAGAAACTCAAAAGCTAACTATTATTCCACCCTCTCCTTCACCACCCACTACTAGGCAATCACTTCCTTAACAGTTCTCAAAGCTGCCCAATTCTTTCCAGTCTCATGATATATTTGTTGAAACCGCATCACTACTCATCTGATTAATCCTGTGATTGGATTGCTACCAGGGACCCTGCTGCCAATTCATTTTTTGAATTCCAATTTACTCTCTGTATTACATTTGAAATAGGCATCTCTCCGTCTCTTCCTCTCTCTCTTTCTCTCTCCCCCTTCTATCTCTCTGTCTCTGTCTCTCTGTCTCCCTGTCTCCTCTGTCTCTGTCTGTCTGTCTCTCTCTTTCTCTCTTTCTTTCCTTCCTTCCTCTTTCTTCCTCTCTTTTTGTCTTTTGTTTTGGTGCTATTGGGGTTTGGACTCAAGGCTTTATACTTGCAAAAGTAAGTAAGACATACCTTCAATCCTTCTTGCTTTCACTATTTTTGTGATAGGGTCTTGTGTCTATGCCCAGACTGGCCTAGACTATGGTCTTTTTGCTTATTCTTCCTGCTTAGACACAATGGCAGATGCATACAAGCACATTCTGCTTTTCAATAGTTGAGAGTGGCTATCACAAACATTTTGCCCAGGCCAGCTTCAAACCATATTACTCCCTATTACAGACTCTTGAGTAGATAGAATTTACAGTTACAAGGCACTGGCTCCAGTGCATGTTTCTCTTGATTTGAAAATCCATCATTAGCTTCCAGTATAAAACTCTGAAATATGGCTCCCAAGACCCTTCATTTGGTCATGCAATCCCACTGAGCCACTACTTGTCTCTTCTGTCCTTTGTGTCCCTTGGTGAAGTCTGCCTTGTCTACCTAAATGACCCCTGATTAACTCCCCTTTGCTCTTCAGGATTCAATCTGGAAGGCTTTCATCAGGAAACACTCAGCACCTGGTCTTCAGAGATCACTATATCACCACACACCCCATTTCATCAAGTTTCGTTGTCATTTTTCCTTCTCTCTCTTCTTTTTTGCCATAGTGGTGGAGAAGAACTAGCTGTCATCTATCTGTGTGTCCCTATACATGTGGCATAAAGAAGGTCAGTTCCACAGATAGTGCAAGTTCATTGCATTTGTTGCCATACCCTCAGTGCTAGAGCAATGCATACTATGGAGCAGGTCCTCCATCATTATACATAGCAGAAGTGAGTAAAGTGAGTAGTCAAATATTGTTTGCATGAGTAGGTAATTATCCCTCATTTTGAGAACCTCTAGGACTGTTTTTCCTTAAATAACATTATAGCTCACTTTTAATTCCCTCCCCCTTACTTCCCCCACTGGGGAATTTTATCTATTACATATTGTATTTCAGATATTTGTCTCCTTGTAGCCTGCTTGGTAATGCTCACAGTTCCAAGCCATGGAGCATAATGCTAAGAACACAGGCATAGTAGAAGATTTAAAGCTGCTTGGAGCAAGTTACTTACCATACAGTTCAGGGAACTCAACAATGTTTCCAAGATAAATTACTATGGGTCCAAGGGGAGGGTTGAGGTTGCATTTTTCATGGCCTGCTTTCACACATAGCTATGCATCCAATCTATAATGTCTGAAATATATTTGCTCCAATCTACATCTTTATTCTGTGCTCGGCTTACAGTAGAAGCTTCTTGGAAAAAAATACCCAAGTCATGGTTACTGAATTTCATGCTTAAGATGAGATAGGTATTTTTCCATTAAAGGCAAATCTTCCATACCAGAAGTCTGAATAGACTATTTAAATTACAACTTCAACTGATTATAGTATGGCACTAGAAAAGCTATATGAAGAATGTTTTCAGGATGTGCTATTTTTCAATTACCTATTCTCTTTTTTTCCCATCCAACTTTTCTGAATTAGAATGGATCATTGGAGTAGATACCATATGAAGAAATGAGAGTGGTTTTCTGTCTGATAGAACTATTAACTATCAATTAGTATTGATTATAGCTGTATGTACTATGTCCTAGACACTTGCATACTCTCTTGTTAGGTCATATTATAGTATTTAATTCTAAGAACAACTAAATGAAATGAATTTCACAGAGGCAAAAGAGACTAACGGGTTTGCCTAATGACAAAGCTACTAATAGGCAGAAACTGGATCAAGACCAAGTCTTTCTTTGAGCCATGATCTAAACTCATTTTTTGTCCTGCCTCTTCTAAATACAAAGATCTTACCATTTGCTACTTAAGATCTGTGTGACTTCAGCAAGTCATCATCCTCTGAAAACCTTCGTATAATTTCTTTAAGCCTCTTCCAGATTTATACTTCTGTTGTCCTAAATAGTCCACTATCTGAGCAGATTCTCTAGATAGCCCAATGCTGTCTGTTATAGATATCCAGTTACCATTTCATTCTACTTTTTATGTTCTTTTTCTTTTTTCTGGTCCTGAACTCAGGGCCTGATCACCTCCCTGAGTTTTGCAGTCAAGACTACAACTCTACCACTTGAGCCACAGCTCCACTTCCAGCTTTTTGTGGTTAATTGG